CTGTATATGTCCGTGTGCAAATATTTGTAATATTGTAATTTTCTTCATAATTTTGAGCATATCACATTTAAGCTGCACTGATATGATATGTATTTGATTTTATTGAGATTAAACTTTAAACAATGCCAAATATAATACCATGGCAATCCTAAAAATTTGTCTCTTCACAAAACTTATTGGTGCCTTTTACTTCATTTCCTACTTTTGGGTTGGGGGGAGTTTGGAAATGTAAACTGCAGTTGCTTTCATCCATAGTCCCACCGGAATGGCTTCCGATGCATTGGCTCTATAGTTTAACAGGGAAATATTCACCTAATCTTTATTCACGCATGTGACTCTACATGAATAATTGTATTACAAACCCCGAAAATGATTTTGTCCATGTGCTTAAGGAAATGAATCTTACAAATATTCAAGGAGGATTGGGAAAATTTTAAATTTTAAAATAAATTAAACAAAATTCGGTTATTGTTCACTAACTCATCAAAATTTTATAGTATATATATATATATATATATATATATATATATATATATATATATATATATATATATAATATTTTATTTATGTAACTAATATTTTTCTTTGCTTATTTTTAAATCAGGGTACAATCGTTTAAAATAGGAAGAGAGTTTTGTCTTGTCATTAAGCTTTAATTTCCAAAAGGGTCTATCCAACTAATGTGTGCATGATTCTTGAGACGCGTGTACGGCTCCAAACAAAACAAGTGTTGGTTTTTGCCCCAAAAAATTCACCGAAGGGCCAAGATGTCTAAGATTAGGACAAATAAAAGGTGGTTGCCAGTGCGTTTCTAAAATGACGCCAGATTTAGGGGGGATTTGAAGTAAGATTTCTTTTATTAGTTTTTTTTCATTTTCCTTCAAGCCAATAGAAAGAATATCAATATTTTGCATCCTTTATAAACTTTTTATAAATAACAATAATTATACTTGTGTGTTTAACTTTTCAAAATTGATTTGTATAATTATAATAAATTCTTTTTTTCTAAAGTTATTTTAGTTAATTTTATCTAATATTTATAGAAATGACGTTATTTTGAGACGAAAATCATTGCGTGTTTGTAATCTTAATTTATTTTAAGATTATCATAGTCTTTATTATTTTATTTTATTTATATTTTTAATCCAAAACAATATCGTTTAAATGAATATTAGACAAAATTATCTAAAATAACGTTAGTATTTTTTCCCCATAATTGTATTGGAACAATTCACTCTTATACATGATAAACTATAATTATTCGAAAAAACGTGTGTCATTTTAAAGGATGTAAAGTTATGTCATTTTAAGTGAGAGAACAAGATAAATTATGGATGAGAGAGAGTGGACAAAAAAAATAAAACTGTGGGTCTCACCTCTTTGTGAGAATAAAATGACACAAATTATATCATTCAGGACAAACATTTTTTTCCAAATTATCACTATTAAAAGTTTATCTAAAGTGAGGAGACAAGTATTTGCCCTTTTAAATGATATAATTTGTGTCATTTTATTCTTACAAAAAAGTGAGATTCACACTTTTACTTTTTTTGTCCACTCTCTCTCACTTAAGAGTAGACTATCAACCTGTAAACGGGGATGAAAAACTCAATGTACAATAAACTAGAGATACTCAAATATAGAAGATAACAGTTGAACTGATGGTGTTTGGTAAGAGGGAAAAAAAATTGCTCAGGAAAGTGAGGTGAGAAAAATAATTTAGCCATATTTGATAGGAGTAAAGTAAACAAGTGGTTGGCAAATATTTCTTGCTCGGTAACAATTTTACACAATAGGAAACATTATTATCAAACGTATGGTAAAACAATTTGCCCACATCCAACACACATTTTCTTATTTTACCCAGCAATAAATTTTGGCCTACCAAACACCTTTTCTTATCTTACCCGGCTATAAATTTTTCCCACCATGTTCTCGACAAATTTTTTTGACTGGTAAACAAATATCTTCTCTACTAAACGCCCTTAATAAATCCTTTGTTTAAAGAGGTGTTTGATATAAGTTTTTTTTTTTTTGTTGAAATGTTGAAAAAGTGGGATGAGGAAATTTTTTTTACCATGGTATGAATAAAAGTAAAAAAATTTCGGGATATTTCTTTCCCCATCATTTTTGCTTTTAACTACATATGGGCAAAAAAATAATCTCATTTTATCTATGATATTTTTTTGTTCCACCAACGAGGAAACACATTTTCACATTTTGAGAAAAAATGGCTCTTATACAATATATCAGCATATGTGTAAAAAGAAAAAAAAAATAGTACAAAAAAAATGGATAATTTTATTATTTTGATTCAGATTCTGATTAATATTTTATAATTAATCAAACTTTACTGACAAATTTTTGACATACCAAACACACAAAAAATTTCTATCATGTTTCAGAAAATATATTTTTTCTGATAAAAAAAAAAATATCTCCTACCAAATGGTCGTACATATTAAGTGGAACTAAGCCTTTGAAAAAATTAGGGAGATTTTTAAAGCGGAGAATTTTATCTTCACGTGAAATGAATAACCACGTGACATCAGCCGGAACGGTCATACTGCTAATGTCCCCATTATTGTATATCAAATCTAAGAGTCGCAAATTTCGGAAATGGTAAAGACTAAAAGAAGCACAAATTGTTTTTTTTGGAAACAAAGAAGCACAAATTTAAAATTGAATTAGTGAAATTTGTTAAGATTTTAAACATCAATTGATTGAAAAAAATATCTCTTTAAAGCATATAAAATCATGTCATTTTAATTAAAATTATTGTATTTTAAAGTGAGAAAAATATTTACACAATGAAATATTATGGTGGTGAAGAGGAGAAGTTATTGAGATTTTTTTTAATTTAAATATTGACTAAAACACCTCTATTTTTAAAATTACAATGTGCTTCAAAAAGAGAAGCAATTTTCCAAAAAAAATATAACATTCTTAATACTCACTTGTAGTCCAACCAAATTTTGTTTATTACTTTTTTTTTTGAAAAAGCCGAACAGATTTTTTTTTTGGTAAACACCGAACAGATTTTTAAATATAACCTATATAAAAGTGTTTTCCTTGCTTTTATTTTTTTTTTTAAAATATTTTAAAGAGTAATTTTGTATTTGAAATATGCAATCAAATTGTGCAAAAATCTTAAGTAATGATAAGTTTCTACGTTAAGTTTTTATTATATTTTTTATATTTTAACCTATCATTCTTTCCTCCAAATAAAGACAGTGTAGCTTGATCTGACATATTTTATTACACAAGTCAAATTCATATTTTTGAAATAGTATGATATACTATGTAAATTATATGTATGTTTTTAAAAAGACATATCTAACTTAAAAACTGACTGATTTAATCTAGAAACTATCATATTTATTCAATTTTCTATGTAATTCATTAATTTTATATATAATAATGTACGAATTTTTGTTAAAAGCCTAATAAAAGTACATCTCTTCCCAGATTAATACTGAATTAATTGAACATTTTTCATTTATAAAATTACACATATTCCTGACATTTTATTAGGGGAAAAGTTTAAATAACCTTTGTGATTGGTTATTAAATCATTTATCCCTTATATTTTATTTTTTATCATTTATCCCTTGTATTTTTTTCCTTTCAAATCTCTCCTTACCGGTGTTAGAGTTTCTAATTATGATTATTATTATTCTACCTTTCCTTATAAAAATACACTTCAGTTACCTATTTTTTTTTATCATATAAAATCTATCCAGTTACATATAAAACTCCTCTAATCATGACTATTTTACTTGCTTCTTAGAAACATTAAAAAGAAAATTTATTCCCTTATGAAGCTTCATAAATTTTGTCAAAAACTAAGATAAATTTTATATGGAAAGAGTAAAATTTGGAGAAAAAGATTACAAGATACCTTAAATATATTTTTATAAAAATGATAGAATAATTATATTAATTAAAAACTCTAATATTGTTAAGGAGTGACTTGAATGAAAAAAGCACCGGAGTAAACGATAAAAAATAAAATATAGGAGAGTAAGTAATCACAAGATATTTTATATGGAAAGAGTAAAATTTGTAGAAGAAGATTACAAGATGGCTTAAATATATTTTTATAAAATGATAGAATAATCATATTAATTAGAAACTCTAACAGAAGGACTTGAATGAAAAAAGCATTGAAGTAAATGATAAAAAACAAAGTATTTGAACTTTTCTCTTTTATTAACAGGAAAAATATTTTTGCAGCAGATAAGTTATCTGCATTTATTCTTAAAACGATGTCATTTTGGTATTGAAATCTTAAAAAATTATAAATATAAATACTATTATAATCCTGAGATAAATTAAATATTACAAAAACATCATGATTTTCGCCCAAAACGACATCATATTGAACTTACTGCAGATAACTTATCTACAGGCAGAAAAATTGAACTTTTTTTTTGGTAATTAAAAAAAAGCGAACCCTTTATTAATATGATATGTTATATTTATAAATTTATTATTTACAAAAACTTTTACAAACTATATTACGTACTACAAATAACACATATTCAAATAATATATATTACTCATAATATGTAATATAATCTATAAATAAAAAATTTATAAATATAATGTTCCTTCTCACTAATTATAAGAAGGGTTTTATAAGAGTTATGTCATAGGAAAAATGATTGTGTTATGTTATAGAGATTTGTTTTGACTGCATGAGTTTTTTTTTTTTTTTTTTTGGTTTAAAAAATTGCAGATTCCACAAAATATTGTGTGTATAAAAAAATTATTGTGGTCATGATAAATAATAGCGGGAAAACGAAACGCAAGTATTTATACTTTTAACCGGGAAACCAAAGCTCCATAATCGATAGTCGATACTCTCAATGTATTCGAAAAAACTAAAATTAAAAAAACATAAAAATCAAAAACTGACAAGGGCAGCGCATATTTATATTCAAACAAACAGATGAAGAATTTACATGTATTTTTCATCAACAGCCACACTCTCTCCCTCCACTCTCTCACTGCAACTCACAGTTCCGGCGACTTCTCCGATCAAGTTCCGGCCACCTCTCATCCCCAGCCATGGCGACGATATGAGCCGCCGCCGTTCGCCATGTCGATTTCCTGCTCCAACTGCTTCTCCGACTCCGACCTCCTCTGCGTAGAGGACACCTCCGGAATCTTGTCCGGAGAGTCGCCGGAATACTCCTCCGACCTCGATTCCTCGTCGCCGTCGGATGATGAGTCTATAGCCGGACTCATCGAAGACGAACACAACTTCGTCCCCGGATTAGACTACCTCTCCAGGTTCCAGTCTCGCTCACTCGACGCCTCCGCCAGAGAAGAATCCGTTGCATGGATTCTCAAGGTAATCTCCTTTTTCACCGTCTTTCGTATCCTCCGGCGGAACCGGCCGATGCTAAATGTTCCGGTCGTAACCGTCTCTCTGAAAACGGTTCGGGCTATTTAGATCTATTTTTTTGTTTTTCTCATGCGAATTGGTTTGTAATCTGGTGGTTGCAGGTGCAGGCTTATTATGCTTTTCAACCGCTTACGGCTTATCTTTCCGTCAATTACATGGATCGGTTCTTGAATTCTCGGCAGTTGCCGGTGAGTTCTGTGAAGTTCAATTCCAGAAAATTAAAAAATTATAAATCAAAAATAGAAAAAAGGAACATAAAGACTGAGTGAGCTTGTGACTTTGGGTAATTGTTATTATTATCATACATGTGCGTGGAAAAAACAAATTCTATGCAGTAATTATGTATGACTTTTCTAATGCGAAGTGGAAATGTCCAAGGTGCATTATTATAATAAAATCATTTTTTAATGATTTAATTAATTTAAATCCATTAAAATATGAGCAGGAGAAATGTCATTTTAGGAGAAAAATAGATATAAGGAATGCAAGTCATGGAAGAGAAAGTGAGTGAGTTTTTTTTAATTTAAATTTTAAATAAAAAAATATTATTTTGTGTCTATCTCTCTCTTAAAATGACATAACTTTATGTCATTTGAAATGTCAAACACTTTTTCCTTAAAATATATATGTATTATAGAAAAAAGGAGTGTCTTTTTTAAAGCACACAAACTTATATTTTTTTAGCAATTTTTAATTATGCATTTTCAAGAATATATAATTATAATATTAAAGTTGTATTTTTTTTTTACTTTTCACGTCAGCATAACTTCTGAAAAGAAAAAAAGTACAACTTTAATATTATAACTATAAATTTTCGAAAACATTTATAATTAAAACTGCTTAAAAAAAATATAATTTGTGTAATTTAAAAAAATACTCACTAAATGCATGTATTATTCAGCTAATGTCGTCCACGTTACGTATATATTTCTACTCTTTTGTTTTATTGTTGGTTACGTTACGTACAAATATTATACGTGCCTGTTATTATTTCCAATAAATTATAATTCGTTTATTACATTAAGAAGAAATATTTTAAATCTTCTTCACTAATCTTCTTATAAATATTTTAATTTACTAAATAAAAAACTATAATTATATTTACTTTTTCACTTAATGCTAAATATTAAGTATCAAGAAAATTATTGAGGAGATTAACAAAATTCTTTTAACAATGCATCATAATGTTTTTGTTGTGCAAATAACAATAATGATAGCTTGATGAAGCTTCTAGTACTCTCGTCTAGGCACGTGTATTGCACTTGGGGATTTGCGCCAGAAAGTTTGATAAGTATTATCGTGATAAATTGATAATGATGATAATTACCTTTTTTAACTTACTGTTTGATATATATAAATATGTTTACAGCAGGCAAATGGGTGGCCACTGCAACTTCTATCAGTTGCGTGCTTGTCTTTAGCAGCAAAGATGGAGGAACCTCTTGTTCCGTCTCTGTTGGACCTTCAGGTATACTTCGAACATGTCTAGCCACTGGCCACATTCTTAATTGAGTGTAATAAAACGATATCAGAGACACATTATTGATAAATTTTTCTTTTTTGGTTTAGTGATGTATACATTAATTAAATTCTAGGGTGACTCGGTTTGTCGTTGGTTATGTACATCATACTTGACACTAAGTCATTCGTAATTTAATGTATACAGGTAGAAGGTGCCAAATACATATTTGAGCCAAGAACAATTAGAAGGATGGAGCTACTTGTTCTGGGCGTCCTGGATTGGAGGCTAAGATCAGTCACTCCATTTAGCTTTCTCGATTTCTTTGCGTGCAAGTTAGATTCAACTGGAACTTTTACTGGGTTCCTCATTTCACGGGCTACACAAATTATCTTATCCAATATCCAAGGTATACTCTTGTCTCCTGTAGCCATTTGGGAAGAATAGCTATACGTGTAAAGATGTAAAGTTTAAGTTGAATTAAAATAAATAAAAAATGCTGGAAAGTGGTGAAGGTAGACATTTTATGTTGTGACATTTTTCTGTTTGTATTTTTTTTTCCCCAGAGGCCAACTTTATTGCATATTGGCCATCATGCATTGCTGCCGCGGCCATACTCTTTGCAGCTAACGAAATTCCTAATTGGTCTCTCGTTAAGCCTGAGCAAGCCGAATCATGGTGCGAGGGGCTAAGAAAAGTAAGCATGCTTATGTTGTTGTTATATGTTTTTAAATGAAAATACCATGTTGTCAAAATAAATATATCTTTGATCGTTGCAGGAGAAAATTATCGGGTGCTACCAATTATTGCAAGAACTTGTGATTGACAATAACCGGAGGAAACCCCCTAAAGTGTTACCACAGCTTCGAGTGACAACCCTCACCCAAATGAGGTCAAGTGTCTCCTCATTCTCATCCTCCTCCTCCTCTTCTCCTTCGTCCTCATTGCCTTATAAAAGGAGGAAATTGAATAACTGTTTGTGGGTAGATGATGACAAAGGAAACTCCAAGTGAAGAGAAAAAGAATATTAATAAAGGAAGAAAAAAGAAACAAATAAGGTGGTGGTCCAACTTGTCCAGAAACCTCAACATTTTTTAGAGGATTTTTGAGTTAAAAATTGACTTGAGTCATGGTGTACATTATAATATATACTATAATGTGCGAGAGTTGTGAGCTTTTATTATTCTTATTATTATTTTGTTGGTGGGTATTGCCATTCATCAATGGCTTCGCAGATTCCCAAGGGAGGGGAATTTTGCAACATAAATATATTGCTTTGGAAAAGGGAGAGAGAGAGAGAGGAAATACACAAAGATGCATTTATTAATGGTTTGGTATAAGTGTGGAAGAAAGAAGTGAAGAATTCGGAATTCAAAGTTGCGCTGGTTATTGGTAAAAGAGAAGAACATGGTGGGACACTGCTCGAGAGCTTGGAAAGAAAAGTAGAGTCGCAGAGCAGATATATCAATTGGGTTGGCAAAACTTGGGGATTGAAACTTCGATGTTTGAGCAGTTTCTTAATATGGGATTTCAAAGTCAGGCTTCCCGTCTTGGCCAGCATCTTTGCTTCAACTTTCACGCTATTTTGATGGGAACCACAAGAATACAAAAAATATATGGTAATAAGTTAAAGCTGGCTACATTTTGTGGACTTTTTCTTATGATGCGCGTGAAGACGCTTCTGGTGCGTGCCACGCACGTGTGTATGTGTGATTTTTTTTGTTTTATTTTTGGCGGGAATTTTCTTTTTCTTTTTGGCCTGGAGTTTTGGCCTAACCATACAGGACCCATTGCCTGGTGTCCACGCGTGTGATGGAAACACGTGGCTATAGTTTTTAAGTTTTGGAATTTTTTTTTTCATTTGTTAAGTGAGGACTACCTTTTCATAGTGGCCTAATTGGCTTGAGAAATGGGAGAAAAGGTCTTTGGGGCCTTTTCCTGCGTGCTTTGTATTGAATTCATTAGTAAAACACTATTAATTTTATAATTTCTTTTATTTACGTATCTCTTTTGTTTCATTCATTTTCTATCATTTTTTGTTTTTTTTATAAACATTTTCTATCATTCTTAACTAGGAAACTTCTTGACTCTTTGAATGAATAATGCGGTTGATGGAAAGTGTCATCCATATGTAATTTCTACATGAATCTTATGTAGGCTTCATACATCCAAATACAATTTAAAATTGTTGGGTTCACAGATGAACTTAATCCACCCAAGAACAAGAGACACATGATTTACAATTAGACACTACGTAGATTCGCCATTTGTTCTTATTACTTAATGAAAAGAAACTTTAAGGCTCTCTCTGGAATCTAGTGAGGCATAACTCTGGAGGGGATGCACTACTCGGTCCCGCTAGCAATAAAGACGATTCAATCAGTGACTGTGACTCAATTAACCAGTGCCTGCTCGTGACCATCTCCAGGCTGTTCTATTATGGTATTATTAAACATACTATCAAGCACTAGCCCTCTGAAATTTCCGACAGTCCTTGTCTTACATTCATGTATTCATTCACTCGGACATATAGATCCTCACATGAGGACCAGTTAATTTGGACACCTTAACATCTCAATTTTTACATCTGATACCTCTTGGCCAATAAATGATTCATAATGAAGTGGAAGAAGGGTAGCAACTACCTAAAGAGCTAGTTTTTGAACCAATAGGAAGATGCCTTTATATATCACTTTGAATATTAAGTTAATTAATTACTAGTACATATTGAAGTTAACAGATTAAGAGCAGAGAAAAATAAAAAATAAAAGCAACAGATCTTAGAAAAGCTACTTTAGTACAGAATTTATTCTCTACAAATACTAAAAGTCCCGACTCACAAAGAGCTTATCATTTAGCCCCATATCCCCGACACAAGGTACATTATTTTTGCATGCAGTTAACACTTGCACATACACCACCATGGCTTTATTCCCATGTCTTCGCAGAAAAAGTGACACCATGCATGTTAGGCATTTGTCTTGCAATCTTATCACACTTGCTTTGCATGACAACCATATGGCCATTCATTGGATAAACATCCTATTCTCTCTATCTCTTCCATACACTTCTGTCTAAACCCATGTTCATCATACTATGCCTCTGCACAGATGGACCATAGTGAAGAAAAATATGCCAGCGTAGTGACAATCTAAGCTCAGTACCTATTTCTCTCATTTCTCTTGGATGCTTCCTTTGCATAATTGATTATGACATGGATCAAGGACCACTCATTGGACCACCTTATTGATTTATTGCATATACCGGGATTTTCCCTTTCCATCTGAATTATTTTTTACCTTTTATGACGCATATAGGATTCATCCTTGAACTAAAATATCTGGATTCCTTATTGAGAAGAGGCATAGTCTCTTTCCTTACATAGTACACACTTACTATTCCTGCTCTATGAATGGCTTCAGGATAGTTCCATCAATGTGGATCCCCCAATCAACCGTCTTATATTCCACTTGTCAATTTATTAATTAACCAATTTATTAAAGGTAATAGAAGCTAGTTAAATCAATTAATGTAATATTTCAAGAGGTCAACTTGGTGGGAACCATGAAGATTTGGATTAAGTGCTTAATTAATCAAACAATTCCAGGGCAGCTGGTAAATGGTGATAATCAACTCAACGATAAATCTTGAGAGCTGCCTCTTTAGGTTCATGTGCGACAAAAATCTTGGACATTAATTAATCAAAAACTTGGTATGCAATTGAAGGATTAATGGGACAGATATTAGGACAAGTCATGGGACGGAAAGACAATATTACCATTAAAACTTTGATTATCAGACACAAACCTGGCCCCTTCCTAAATCTTTCATCAAAAAGTAAAGCACATGTAGAAGAGTATTGATCTCTTTAACCCAAGCTGCTATATATGCAAAGCTAACAAACCTTGACACTAATTAGTTGATGTAAGAAGAGAATATGTATAGCTTGTTTCAAGATAGACTTTGATAGATTAGTATATTTTACAAAATATAAAAGCTATAAAAACTCAATGAGGAAACTTTATATATGGTAATAATAAGGGATTCCATTTCATAGAGTCACTGTTATATTTTCCTATCGTGAAAATTATAGACCTCAAAATAGAGAATCTTTCACTCCCTAATACAACTCACTATCGTACATATTAGTGGTATGTTATGTCACTCACATCAATGAGGTAATGGGTAAAATGGTTATAACTCACTTTCTTTGTTATGATTAGAGAATATTTTCCACCTCTATATACTCCTCTTCTTCCATTGAAGAGACATTTGACATCTATTATTTTTATTAGCCGTCTCGAAATATTGAGTCACGTTACCTTTACACAATGTCCCTCTTTCAACTATCTTTGAGATATTTACACAATGACTCGTCCAAAAGTTTTGATTTATGCTATTGCCTAGAGTATCTCTATATTGACATATTACATCTTTTAAGAAATACATACCTAACTCTCCAACACAAATAACTTACGTACTCTATTTTTTATATCCTTAATTTATGAATGAAATTTTATTTCGGATCTATAGCTGATCAAATTCTAATACTTTACCAATCACATTCGATTTATGCATTTTGCATACATGCTTGAAGTTATAGTGAAAAATTTTCTTGCATCACTCATCTTCTTTAAGAGGCTAGAAGCGTCTTCATCTATTATTTATTAATTTTTTTTATATCTAGATAAGAATAGGTTTTAGTATTCAAAAGTGTTGTTTTCACACTTAATTTCAACACATAGAAATGTTTTATACCTTTTTTTGGGGAGGGAGGGGGGAAGAAGAGAGAGAAGAGAAAAATAGTGAACTCTCATTTCTTCTATTTTTTCTAAATAAAAAAAGATATAAAAAATTCCTTTAAAATAAATTTGTTTTTAAAGTATGTAAGAGTGTATATACTCATACAGGTATCTTAGGAGTTTAGAGCAATATTTTTTTAAAATACGGTACAAGAATAATATTAGGGAAATGTAAGTGTCATATTATATGACACATTTTGTGTCATGTCATAGATACAAAAAGATGTAAATCCTACTGAAAAAAAATAAAATAAAATAAAATTATAAGTCTCACTTTTTTGTGCTTATAGTATGATATAAAATATGTTATGTAACATGACATTCATATTTTTTCGATAATATTATTGCATAATATTTTCTAGATGATCCATAAAAGATACGATTAATGGGTTAGGGCCCATTGAGTATATTTTGATACGAATTGAAGGGTGGCTGTCTAATAACCCGCAGATTGGGGCATGAGGTGAAATGTGAAGCCGTCTAATTGGCTACAAAAAGCTGGAGAACTATATGAGAATTTTGGATTTTGTCATGCCATTGGTTTCCCACCTATATCATCCATCATGAGGGCCAATTAATAGTGTGTATACGGAAGTTTGGGTTATTGATGATAACTTTGTGGAGCTTATAATTTAACTATTATTATGGCATGTGTGGAAAGGAATGACCATAGTAATTATAGTCACCCAATCTACAAGTTAAAATGCAATTAACATTGGATAGACCTATGAGATTATGACATGTGCACCCACATAGCAAGTGGTCCAACTTAACACGTAACTGCTTTTATCTTATTTTGTCTTAAATGTGTAGACTTAACTATGCAGGGTGCTTCCTTATCTCACAATAAAGAAGTAACCTGCCCCACACAGTTCATTTACATGTAAACAATATGAACTTTAAAGTGAGAGGAATGAGGAATCCTAAGTATAAAACCCAAAAGCCAAAATTTCTTTTCCCCTCTCAATAAATGGTAGGGCTTGGAGGGGTTTTGTGTAGGATGTAGAATCTAACTCTTTACTATCTCTTTTTGTTAAGGAATTTCCTACTTTGGTGGCCATATGACAAGGATAGAGGACTGCTATGAAAATTCAGACTTTTTTTGGTTGTAAAATTAGTGTTATGCTCGTGGGGTAGCTGCAAAAAGGTGTCTATTAGAGGCCCATTGAGGGATAAAAGGTTCAAAAGCTAGAATGATTCAGAGTTCTCAGATATGGTTTCTGAGATTTTGATGCTGAATACGAGACACAGCACTAAGCTCAGGTCCTTGACGCACTCATTGTCCCCATTCTACAGCAGATTTTTTTTTTATAAAGAACAAAAGACAGATAATAAAAGAAAAGTAATGAAAAAAATAAGCAAAAATGATGGCGCCAGAACTAAATACGTAAAACTCCTTGTATATATGTCTTTTCTCAATAATGAATATCATGCTCACAATTCCCAACCATATAATCATTTTGATTCTGGCTAATAAATTATGTTGTAGTATTCATAATTAACAAGGCTAGCATGCATGCACATATAATTATACTCATTGATCTAGTCCCTATAGTCATTTACATTATCACAAATGCTACAACCTACAGGGCATAACAGAATTAGCCATGTATAGTGTATAGTATCCTGTAGACATTGTAGCACAAAGTTTAGATGTGTTACTTTTTTTATTTTCTAGCTGTAAATGTGAGCTTTTTTATCGCATACTTGCATTTTTCTCTGTTAGGTCGATGCCATAAAAAGATGGCGAAAGAGGACTAGTTTTCGAGGGGGAGCGTGAAGCGTGGATGTCGTGACGTTCTTTATTAATGCTTTGTGATAGTGCCTGCCATGGACCTCCATAATAGAGTGGTGACAAAAGGGTCGTCTTCTTAATCATCAATACTCTATATAGAGCCACACCATCTATTATATAACCCCCCCACCACACCACCTCTTCAACATCGATTTCCATCACTCGATCAGTTACTTATTATATACTATAGATTATAAATAATTAACTTTCCTCTCTTGTCCTAATCAATAATATAAAGAAGTACCCAACAATAACTTTAAATGTGAAAGCAGCATGACATGTCCGAAATTCATTAGCTCATTTACATAATGAAAAAGAAAAAACAGGGAAAAGGGTAAAG